CTCGCTCGATGATCGGTGGAGAAATGAGCTCCGCAGACAAATATGATTGAATTTGGAATTTTGCTACGGCACATCCTAATAAAGGGAAGGGGCATATCTCCAATTTCTTAAAATGAACAGTACCACTGAAGATATTAGCTGCAATTTCCGACAAAACGTCTGGACCTAACAGTTCATTAGATCGCGGCCTTTCACCTCAAATCATAATTTTATCCTAAAGTGTTGTGACGATTGCTGTCAGTGATTCAATTGTCTGTTAGGTTACAATTGAGTAAGATTAGATTTGGTTCAACTATGCAAACAAAAAAAAAGTACACGACTACTTACCCTAAAATTATGATCCTAACCTAATTAAACTTAATTCGGTTGGTTGTAATCATAAAGTTATAGTAGGTAAAGACAACATAAAATTTTGCCGTTTCTTAAAATTCTCTTATCGCCTGGGATTGTGCTAGGTTACGTTAATAAGCATTTAGAGTTACAAGTCGAAATTTCGAGTTATAACTCCTAATAATGCCTTGTAGACGAAATTCAAATAGGCGGGGGTCATTGTTAGTTTAACTCTTTAAATTAGGTTTTTAAAATACTAACTGACTGATAGCATACGTGTTGAATACATAAGATAACTAAACTAAAATTAATATTTATATATGACATAATTAATATCACTGTTTTAGTGAGGCTCTTTCAGTTTAATAAATACAAATAGAATAAATAAAAGAAACCTAAAATCATAAAACGCCACTTAAAAAATAATATTAATAAATTGACGGTGAGTTAAAAAACACTTTAAACTTTAAAGGTTAAACATTTACGACAACCTGTGGATAATAAGGGACAGAAAGTCATTTGAAGGTGTCGAATATGCTCTGTAGTATTATACTCCTCAAAAACCGACGATTTTATCATCTTGATATCCCACATAAAGGTAGACCAGAAAGGTGTTGGAGCTAATCGTAATTTTTGTTCTCCCCTGGCATTAGTTACAGTATTAATGACCTCTATGTAATCCCCTCTTTTTAAGCTGACTATCAGATATTAAATTACACTGAATAAGATCTCTGAACTTCGATAGAAATAATGTGGCTTGGAGTGTTTTCAATAAGAATTCCGAGTTCTAGTATATTCTTGGGGAAACAGATACCACTCCCTTGATGCTTCTGTGGCCGTCCGACGATAAAGTCCCTACTGTTTTCAAATTTCCTATGAGTACGATTGGAGGCAGTGAAGTTGTAAAAATAAAACTAGCAAAATAAGAACGGGCGTATCTGTAATAGGGGTAGCGTTTATAGCTCACAATATTTCCCTGATATATCCATCTTATGAAGTTGATTATCACGTTCTTCCATCATAATCCCATAGTTCCCATAAAAGTGAAAAGCATGCACTTTATTTTTGTGTTACAGCGTCCATGTATGGGCATACAGAATTTTTGGAATTTTGTATCTCTACGTTGCAATAACTAGAGATGCAATGAATAGTGATTTTGTTTTAGATAATCGGGTAAAAACCACTACGCTTAATGCTTCATGTCTTCGTCTGGGCAGCATTTCCATTAAATGTCACCTTCACCAACATTCCAAACCACATTAAGTCCCATTAAAAAAGTCGTTTAAACACTAAACCGATGAAATTTTAATTCTTGATTGGTGGATTCAACGAGAGGGTTGAGTTGAAATGATTCTGATGATGATAAACATCAAAAGTCTGCAAGGTGACAAAATCGGTATCCCAGTTATCGTTGGTCAAAAGCTGATATACCAATAAGTGACAGAAATTGTAACATTCCGGTAATACTGATGCATTATTGTTTACAAGAAAAAGTAAACATAAGAACTATATCGAAATAACAAATAATTTAGTAAGCAATAAATAATACAATCTTCACTAGGTAGTTCTTTTGTTATAGTTATTTAATTATTTTTGTTGGTGTTTGTTTTTTCTGTTTTCATTATTCGGTACTGGCGGGATCTTAAAACAAAAGTACCGGTTTAAAACCAGGTACCTGGTCCATCCCTAGTAATTACTCTTTTGAATGCTGCGAATTGTTATGTCGGAAAATATGCCTCTGTACTTTACTATTACTTATAGTGGATTATTGAAGCTTGACTTTCTTCATAAGAAAAAATATAACAGCCTGACAGTGCTAGCTAAGTGTATAGAGTAGAATTGCGGTACAAAACAGGAGGTATAGTGCAGAGCAACATCTTTATGGTGTCATTTTGCTATGTGTGATTCCATTTCTTATAAAAACAATTAATTATATTATTAGTTATGTTCTCAGTTCTAACTGACCTGACACTTTAAATGTCACTTTTTGGTGGTATGACATTGTTACACTGTTATGTTTATGCTGTTTTTGCTAAAATGAGCATTTGGGATTTTTCTTGACTTCATTTTCTTTGCTGTTTTCTATCATTTGCGGATTTTCGAAAGAACCGAAATTTCCAGATATAACTTGGTAATAATTTCCATATGTTTTTGACAATTTGAAGTATAGGATGGAACGTAAGTTAAGGCAGGTAGTATGGCTTAGGTGTGAATAATAAAATCAGCAATTAAAAATTAAGTAACTTATACCTTAAAATTCCTAAAAGAAAACCTTGATAATATTAGGGCTGTATCCGAACTGTTAAGCAAATATCTGTGGGTCATTGTCGATTTCTACAACTTACTTTTCTTTTTTGTTTATAAAATATCCGTAAAGCATAAAAATGCCTATGAAAAAATAAAATTGAGTTAAAGTTAATTTTCCAATTATCAAAAAATGTTAAGTTTAGCTACTGTTAAAATTTATTACTATAAAAATCATGAAAGATGAGTCTCCATAATAATTTTTATTTTTAAAACCAAGATTATTTAACTCTGTCAGAAACCTTTTTCCATCTTCATAATTGAAACGCTTTTAACTATTGGTTAGTATATTTATGCAATTTCACCGTAAATGAAATTTGGGACGAACTACCTCAAAGTAACTGGTGTATAGGCAGGCACCTTCTAATGAGTCTACTCCAATTTACAACATTTCTTTAATAATATTGACCTTTTATAGGCTTCGAAATGTAATATTCTTACTTCCAAATACGTACATATAATTTAGAGACAATTAAAAGATTAAAACTTAATTATGTATTGGGCGATTTTCAGGTGCGTTCGATTCTAGTTGGTATTGTATTCGTTATCAATGTATGGTTTAATTTTACACTAACTTCAGTTGAATAATGATACATTTTGTAATCAATGGGTAATTATAAACATGTTTTTAATTACCAATTGGCAATTGTATAGAGTACATTAAGAGAAATTGGAATTAAACTTGGCAAAGCTATCTACACCATAAAGACTCTGCCATTCGCTTTACTTCCTAGTTTGTAGCCAAAAATTTTCCTTTATACTTTAGTTAAAACAATTTGTCTGATGAAGAAAATCTTGGTTTTATGATCTATAAATAAGACATAGTAAAGTACTAAAATATATTCTTTGCTATAACAATCTTCTGCACTTAGAAGAGTTGCTGGAAAGTGTACATAAATAATTCTAAAAATTGTTGTTTTCGAAATTGTTTATTTAAAGTATGGCATTGACGTTAGTTGACGGAGTTAATGTTGGAATTTATGATGATCATTCAGGTGGGATAATCGACATCAATCAACTTCCGGAAGAGGTTTTGGACGCTACATTGTCGGAAACACTAGTCTTACAGATACGGTGCGTTTATTTTTTAAAATTTCACTGCCTCCCATCGTACTCTTTGGAAGTTTGAAAGCAGTGGAACTGTTATCGTCGACAAAGCTAGACTATCACGACAAAAAGCATCAAAAGAGTGTTTAAGTAAAACTTTCTTAGAACACAGATTTCCGGATGAAAACACTCCAAGTCACATTTTGATCTCATCTAAGTTGGAGAACTTTTTCAATGTAATTTAGCATCTGATCGTTTCGTTAAAGAGGAAGAGCATTACAAACTGGCCAATAATTATCCAAGTGTTGCCAGGGGAAAGAAAAATTACGATTAGCTCCATCTCGTTTCTATACGACTGATCTAATGGGTAATGATATTATGTTAGAAGTGGTCTACCCTCACATGGAACCAAATGCGCTAATGAATCTCGATTATGTAATCAGTAGGTTTTTCGAGGGAGGAGAACATTCCAGATGTTCATACGACATTCTATGCAGTGGTGTAATCATATCATCATCTGAGGCCCGCGCAAATTTATCGGATGGGATAAAAAAATGTTTACGTTGTAGTTTCATCTTAATAAATTACGAAATAAAGTATAAATTTAAAGTACGTAGTATATTGAGACAAGTACAGTAAAATAGTAGATACATTTTAAAAGTTTAGTTGGCACCCGAATAAATTTCGTAAAAAGTCAGTACTCATGACTCTAGCGTAGCGCATGAACGTCCTTAATAAAATAATAAAAAGCGGGGATTCCCTGAGCATCACTAGCCCGCGCTACTAAAGAAGTGCTGCGGCAAAAAAATGAACTTACTGCAGTGGATGCTTTCTAAAACTGAGCGATATTTTTTTGAAGTGAAAATTCTTTACGCACGGAAGGGTAAGTTCGTTTCATGCGAGTTGCTATGTAACGAAATCATGCAACGGATGTCCTCCCTCTACTCGGTCACGTAGTCGAGTTCGTAGTGGGGATCGCTTGAGCCGTGAGCGCGCTTCAATGCAACGTTCGTTACAGGCAACTCCGCATGTATAGTGTAAAATTTAAATTCATATGTACAAATAATACCATTAAACCGATTTCTTAACCCCTATCCCGGTATGTTTGTGTGTTGCGTGTTGTATAATTACATGTTCTATTGTTTTTTCTTCTGAATGTGTTTAAATCTTCTTAATTTGTTTGTATAATTCGTGTATGTTCTTGAGTTAATGCTCAACATAAATTGATTAAATATAAAATTAATATTTTTTACCAAATTTTGAAATAAATGTAAGATTCCTTCTGTCCTCATGGCTTCTCCGGCCGGGGGCCCGTGGCATTTTCCCCGTTCTGCTTATTATTACGCCACTGATTCTATGTAATATTGCTAATTGCTTAACCTTTAATGTATTACCGCATCTCGCTGCCAATTTTTAAGTATGTATTTTATCGTGGCGTTTTTGTGATTATAATAGGTATTCTATTTTGTTAGTATCTAATTACAAATATTACCAGATAAACTTAAATGTACCTTAACGATATAAAAAAAATGATTTCAATAAATTAATGAATCTTTAAAAAGCTGCAAGTAATAATCAGTAGCAGGTATTAAGTTCATAAGACGTCAAACGCAGCTAGAAGTTGTGGATGATGACGATGACGATGTGATGATAGGGGGTGGTTTGAAGGGGGTCCATCTCTCTGTCGCACCATAATAAGATATACGGGAACATAAGTTCAATTAACACTCATTTTCTATTACGGTTATTTATTTACATGGCAAAATTATGGCACCTCGCATATCAACACAAAGTTCTCCATTTAAGCACCAAATGTATAATACGTGTTTATGTCTACGCTTTTGTTTTCAAGCTCACTCACCGGGTTTTGTACAATATATTTTTATATCAGTTTCTCTACAAAATATTAATATTATTTGGCAGTCAAGGAGCATTTGTAATTGAATGCAATATAAGTTCAAAAATTTTCTTTTTTTTTACCCGCCCGATTTTGTTCTAATTGCGATTTTACAAAATCCATTTAGTTCATATAATAATTAGTACGTGTCCACTTTAATTGTTTCAGTTCATCACTCGTGTTTATTTTCTAAGTCAATTAAAAACAAAAACGCGACAATTCCCTTAAATTTTGCCCCGATCAGTTGACGAAAACATTTCAGTTTAGATATCGCTTCAAATAATTGAAGAAGCTGTTACAGCTAAAAGAATTGACGTCGTGTACCGTGTAACCAATTTCCTTTAATGTATAAATCCAAAATAATTCCGAAAGGTCACAGTAAGTATAAAAATGTTTTTGGTATGTGATAAGTTGTTATAAAATAAACACGTGTGCATTTACCGATTTGTTAACACTTATACCCGTTTAACGATGTCACCGAAACACTAACGATAGCTATCTATGTAATCACTGTACACAATGTATAAATATTTTCTATTTTTTAATCTTGCCGCCATTAAACAACGTACTGCGCAATAGCGTACGTTTGCGCTTGTAGTATGTTGTAAGGCAGCGGATTTAGTTGTTAAATAATGCTTTCGCGATTGCGTTCGTTGTCTTCTAAGCTACTCGTCGATCTGGAGCCGCAAATTTGCATTTCAATTTCGGCCAAACGATGTTGCAATTCCCACTGTTGCTGGTTCAGCTTGATGCTCATCGCCGCATTCTCCGACTCCACTGTTTGCAAACGTTCGCGAAGGCGTTTGATTTCGGCCTCGAGCGCTTCGTGTGAACCCAGCAGTGGTGTAGCCGCTTCAGAGACCAATTGAGTCATACTGTCGCAGTGAAGTGTAGTGCCTATAACGAAAAAATGTAAGTTATTAATTGAAATTTCGGGTACAAAGTGAATGCGTTGTTAATTTCTGGAATTTAAAGCTTAAAAGTTTGGAATTAACAATGGCTTTGCAGTTGCATATTTCCCAGTTTTTGTTTCGTATAGTTCCGTGTGTTAAAAGGGTTGATGTTTTTTGTTTGTTTTTTTTTACTATTTTTCCACATATGTGCGTGCATACCTTAAATACAGAAGCTTTTAAATGTATTGGCTTTCCTCCGTAATACGTATTGTAGCGAGCACGAGTGTGTTTGTGTGCGATCGGGCATACGTGTGCTTGAACGGCTTATCGGTTCGTCGATTAGCCGCGGGCGCCTTTCTTCATGTGCGCCGTATTTGTAAATGTGTGTGTCGTACCTGCGTTCTGGAAAAACAGTTAAACAGTTCAAAGAAACAAAGAAACTATTCGGATGTTTCCAGAATCTGCGCCGTAAAGAAAAAAAGAAACTATCCGGATGTTTCCAGAAGGCTCCCGAAAGTATACAAAAGAGTATTTAAAGGAAGACACGATCGCTGAGAAGGAGAAATAAATGGACCGTTGCAGAAGTGAATCCAGAAATAAATTGACAGTGATAGCAGTGAATGACCTAAGTTCAGTAATAATTTAATAGTGTTTTTAATTTCTTTAATAATTAGTGTAAATAAATAGTTTTTGGCGTGTTCAGTTTTGGAAGTTAATTTTGTTAAACCCACGAACATTACAGTATAATCACACATTTAGGCTATAGCTAGGCGTTATTTACGTAGAGGTATTTCTTTTACCTGTCTACTACAGACCGCTGTACAATTTCTGCTTTTCAGCAGTGAAAATCGTATTAAATCGTACTTATTAGATTTTAAGAACTCCGTATACCTGTTAATGACTCACGGGCATAATTTTTATTTCTCATAATGTGGGAAAAAAAATAATTTGTTTGATTCTGCTAGAGATTGCTGATGTAATAGTGTTCTGAGAGTTTTGAATCGTATGAAGCATGTATCGTGTATATCTTTGCCATAAACAGAAAGGTGCTTTTTGTGCATTTTGTCTACATAAATCATTTGGACCCGTATTAGAAACACGTTCGGGTATATATGTAGGCAATAAAGACCCGAGTTGTCGCTGGTTTGGCGCTCTAAATTTATGTGCATCGACATTTCCAATAAATCAGTGGATTAGCGGTTTGAGGATTTACCCTGTTCTGAACTAAATTTTAAACCGGACTTTTAAAGAGCGCTCCGCAATTTATGACAAAAATAAAAAAAAATGTCAACTTTTTCGAACAATTAGGTACTCACTTCGCGACGAAAGTCAATTTATTCATATTTATTATCAGATTTCATACAGGGAATCATCAAAATTAATAATTATCTAAACTTTGATGAAGCAGAAGCTTGATTCGTTTGTGGTAATATGGAAAGTACGATTGTTGATTGTATAACATTAGCTGGAAGTAAACGATTGTCGTAAATTACCCAAGTCTAAGTTTTTAATTAACGTTAGGAGAGATCGTTAATCACCCATGTTCTCTCTGGCGTAAAATTTGACTGATGTGTTCATTATTTCATTCGAGTGTGCTTGTACTCACTTACCTGTTTGAGTTTTGAGATTTTATGAAAATGGGTGCCATTAATGTCGCTAAAAATTATGTTCGGAACTCGCGAGAACAATTAATAACATGTGACTGTTAGGTATGAAAGTTTATATAATCGATTAATCGACTTTTGTTACAACCATCATGGTATTGCAGTAAAAAAGGAATACGTTACAAAAAGGACTTACCCCAATTAACCACCTTTAGTTTAGTTAAATATACTTAAAAATGTAGGGATGAGTTACAAAGATAGAAGAGTGATACTTATAGTTTGTATAAAGAGCAACAGGCATTTATAGAGCTGGGGCTGCAACGTTGAGAAGTAAATATTAGAAAGGGAGTCAGACAGGGAAGCACACTGTCACCGCTACTTTTTAATCTATACATCGAAGACGCGATCAACTTCATTAAAGACACCACAACTGTAGGGATAGATGTGCAAGGGCAAAAGATTAGTATGTTTAGATTTGCAGATGATATAGCAGTATTAGCATCTAGCAAGGAGGACTTAGAGATAGCTTTAAATAAAATGGAAGCGGTACTGACAGATAAGTACTGTATGAAAATAAATAAAAGTAAAATTAAAATACTGGTATGCAAGGGAAGAAAAAGTAGGGAAAGAGCGAATATAAAAATAGGAGACGGAAAATTAGAAGAAGTGGCTGATTTTAGATACCTAGGAAGTCAGATAAGTCAGGACGGAAGGAGTAGTAGGGATATAAAGCAGAGGATAGCGCAGGGTTGTATCGCCTTTAATAAAAAGAAGTCACTTCTGCGCTCGCAAACGGTTAATTTAGAAATTCGAAAAAGGTTGTTAAAGGTGTATGTTTGGAGCACGGCGTTTTACGGGTTCGAAACATGGACAGTGGGCGCGGCGGAAAAAAAAGGTTAGAATCGTTCGAAATGTGGTGTTACAGGCGGATGATGAGGATAACGTGGGTAGAAAAGGTTAGAAATGAAGAGGTATTGGAAAGAATAGGAGAACAGGGGACTCTATGGAAGTCAATAAAAAATAGGCGAGATACGTTGGTAGGACAAGGTCTAGTCAGAGACATATTAGAGGAAGAAACAAAAGTTAAGAGGGGTAGAGGTAGACCTAGATTAGATTACTGTTCGCAAATAGTTAAGGATGTGGGCTGTTCTAGTTCTAGGGAAATGCGAAGTTTAGCTCAGGAGTGGTACGTGTCCAACCAGTCTTAAAACTGATGACCTTATGATGATGATGAGTTTAGTTTAGGACACATGTTTTGTACAAATGGTATCTGAACGGAACGCGTGTTCGCGTTAGTTAAAGGTGTTGTGGTTAATTGGTGTAAATGTGCCCCAATTAACCCACAGCACTTTTAATTAATGTGACACATGTTTTACACACAATGTAACTGAACGAAATGCGTGTTCGTGTTAGGAATCGTGGGAATGGATGAGACAGATGAAATGAAGACAGAATGGAGTAAAAGATTATGTGTTGAATATTACTGCCCCAGCATTTGCCTAAGTGATCCAGGGCAGATGGACCCGGATATTTCCCTACTAAGTAGATATAACCAATATACATAAATATGCTATTTAGGTTATTACTATTTGAAAATATATTAAGTATAAGAAGGAAATTAACTGCAATTACTTATGGTTAACAAAACTGATTTGGTAATTAACCTGGTCCCGAATTAATCCCTAATTTGTATCAGATTTTTAAATAACAATTTGAAATACCTTTAATCATCATAAAGTCGTCAGTCCTAAGACAAGCCCTTCATATCGAAGAAGGTGTCCTATAGACCTATTTTGCCTATTTCTTATTGACATACGCAGTAGCCTCTGTTCGGTGAGCTACTGAAACCTCCGAATACCTCATGAGTATGCAGAACTTCTTTTTGTTGACGGCGACCCGACCCTGCCCTATCCTCTGTTTTATATCTCTACTGCTCCTTCCATCCTGAGTTGTTCGACTTTCCAGATTTGTCACTTTTAATTTTTCGCCTACTAACGTTGTATTCATTCTTTTTCTAGTCTTTATTCTTTCTTGCTCAAGTTTTATATATTTTTATACAAATTATGTATCATTTTTCTATCTCTATCTCACATTTATTATTTATTATTATATTTAACATCTTATCTCATTTAACATTGTCAAAAGCTTTTTCTAAATCTACGAAATCCTAATAACATGTAACTCTATTGGCCAAGTTTTAAGATAAAAGATAAAAATGAAAAAGTTGTGTCTATTATCTATAACCGCAGTGCATTACCTGTCCCTAAGTGAATCGCTATGAGTAATTGAATTGAAAGTTTTGAGAGAAAAAGAATCTAGAAAAAAATTCGGCGACATTGCAACAAATCTGCAAATTCATGGGACGTATTTTATTGGATAAAAACAATAAACTGACCGTCATTAATTTATTTGCTTATTTATTGAAATGCGATTTGATTTTAAAATCCCCTTTAATAAATAAGCTGTCGTTATAAAACATAATCTGAAACAGGGAAAATAGAGCGTTTAACCTTTAACGTCATAAATTAAGTTTTATATTTTATTTGCGTATAGAAATTACCTTTATTATAATGGATTAATTAATGTGAAAACCCTCGGTGTGCGAGTCAAGTTTACATTTGACTGATGGTTTTTTTACTTACGAATAGTTGAAGAATCGTTAATAAGGAACGTTGACACTAATTGCGAAATTTCATTTCAAAAGATGGAGAAACCACATGAAAGTGAAATGAGAATTGATAGACATGAATTATAAGGGTTGCTGCAGTGGTTACGAAACTCTACAAAGTTAGACAGAAAGCATTTTTGGCATCTGTTTTCGTTGGTGTTAGAAGAAGTGGCCATCTCCGTTTAGTTTTTCATGTCGTAATGGAGTCTGGGGGTATTAACTGGCGTTTGTGTTAATTTTGACGGAGTTTAATCGGGAAGATTTCCGTGTGGTGTCTAATAAACAGTAATTGACCTCAATTTCCCGTATCTCCGTTAGCGAAATGGCGTTAGGAACGAGATGTCTCTCCGAGAGTCCTTTTCGTCATTCTAGCTCCCTAATGCCATAAAACATGCCCTCAGGCTCGCAAATGCCGAAAACCAAATAAAACTTTCCAAAACGTTTTACTTTAAATGGAACATAAATGCAAACGGAGTTCGGAGATGAAATTGATCCGATTATACACCGGGTGGTCAATATAAGACAGAGTAAATTTCAAGCAGATAAAAAATAGGAGAAATATTTCGATGAACCTTAGGTATATTAAACAGTACATTACGTATCGAGGTCTGAAAGGCAGATATTTCAGTCTACTTGTGAGTTTCCGCCTGAGCCGAAGGTTTCAGACAGAGATACGCAATACAATTGATAATTATAAATACAAGAATTCATCATGTGGAGATTATAAAACTT